AAAAATCTCAAGGCAAAGTGCTGCAGGCAACTGTGGTCGCTGTGGGGTCCGGCTCCAAGGGGAAGGGTGGAGAGATCCAACCAGTTAGTGTGAAAATTGGAGATAAAGTTCTTCTTCCAGAATATGGAGGCACCAAAGTAGTTCTAGACGACAAGGATTATTTCTTGTTTAGAGATGGTGACATTCTTGCAAAATACGTAGAGTGAAGTAAATCACTGTTGAAGTGGCGTCACACAATGGTGCCCATTCCACTGAAGTTCTGCGTCTTTCATCATGTACATAATTTCCATGTCTCTTTTATAATAAACTGATGATATCTAAACTAAAAAAAAAAAAAATGTGTTCTGCAAATGTGGCAAAATGTTGGTTTATCATCTACATCGCGAGTACATGGGTTCCCTTACAACTATTTCTTTTCTATATGCTTGGAGATATTCATAATAAAATGTCAGGCCTGGGGCCATGGAGATTGCTCAGAGGTCTAAGTGCCTACGTAGGCAAGTGCAAGAACCCAGGTTTGATCCCTGTACTGCATGCCATGAACATCAGAGCCGGCCACCAAGACCAGGTATGGTGCATGCCAGTAATCCAAGCTCTGGGGAGGCTGACACAGGAGGATCACTACAAGTTCAAGCTGCATAGTAAGACCCTGTACCAAATACATTAAAAAAAAAAAAAAATTCAGGCTGGAGGTGGTGGCACATGCCTATAGTTCTAGAACTTGGGAGGCTGAAACAGAAGGATCTTGTAAATTCAAGACCTGCTTGGGATACACAGTGAGCTCAAGGCCCACCTAAACTGCATAGACCCTGTCTCAAAAAAGATGAAAGGGCCGGCCAAACAGCCCCGCCCCCTGGGGGATGCTGAGATGGCAATTGAGACTGGGAGTGGTCGCATGCGCCTATAATCCTAGCATTTGGGAGGCTGTAAAAAGGCAGATCACTACAAATCCAATCTAGTAGTGAGACCCTGAACACCCTGTAGACCTTCCCTAAAAAAAAAGACAAGTGAACACAAAGGGGAAAGGAGCTTTGAAAGGTGAAAGGTAGTACTTAAATGTAACAAAACCCTGAGTTGGATCTCCAGTACCATAAAAAGAACAACAAAAACAAACTATCACTACAGTATTTAAAGGGGATACCAGGGCCAGGGACATAGCTCAGTGGCATAAGTACCTACCCGGCAAGCGCAAGATCCCAAGTTCAGTCCCTGGTGAAAAAAAAAAAAAAGGGGGGTGATTCTAAGCAGTTGTCCAGAGCTAAAGGATCTCAAATTCAAGCCCTCCCCAGGCAATGAGCAGCCATTTTTTGTTTTGTTTTGTTGCTATGTAGTCCAGGCTAGCCTTGAATTCATAATCCTTCTGGCTCAACCTCTCTAGTACTGGGATTACAGACACACCATCAGATCTAGTTCTCATCTATTATGACCACATTTTGTGCTGTGAATTGAGCCTGGGGCCTTGTGCCTGCTAGGCAAGGGTTCTAATCACAGAACTATACTCCTCACCCTCATCTATTATTTTTATGTTTTGTTTTCAGCACCAGGACCTCCTGCATGCTAGCACTGTACCGCTGCACTACACCAGCCCCACCTATATTTTTTTTAACTGCTTTTGTATGCTTAAGTACATATTTCTCTTTTATTGCCTCCAGCAGGGCACAGTAACATGCTGTATAAGTTTATAGGCTAGAAGCAAGAGGCTACACCCTATTAAGTATGTTGAAGGCTCTGCTATCTGGACATGTTAGGCTCACAGAAGGAAGAAATTGCCTAACAGTGCATTTCTATGCCCTATCATTAAGTGGCATAGGCCTTTTAGCTTCTGTCTTGTTTGTTAGCATCTGTGAGTTTACTTGGACTATGTGGGCTTTTATTGTCACTGAGACACAGTGCTGGACACCCACAGTTTAAAGGAAGAAAGGCTCACAGAAAGATCAAGAAAGGAGGTGTTATAACCTGTGCAATTGATTCCAATTTTGTAACTGTATGTTTCCACTGTAACTTGATTAACAAGGACTATTTGGTATAAACTGACAACTTAAACTCCATCTTCTAACAAGCTTTGTAACTTCTGTTTTGTAAAACCTTGATTTGTTTTGTAAGCCCCCCACCCTTGCCTTCCCTGAAGAATGTGACTGTTTGTACAAATAAGAAAGTGTTTCTCAGCATTCCAAGAGAAGATAAGAAATGTTCCTCAACATTCTGCAAAATGAGTTAAACTGTCCTTCCCATTACAGGAACAAACAGAACACCTGAAAATGGGTGAAACTGTCATCAGACGTCCTTCTGACTACGGAACAAAAACAACACCTAAGCCAAATAAGGACATATTCCCATAGGGTTTGCAAAATGTAACCTGGTCTATGGAAACAAAGAGTTAACCCTTGGTCATGACTAACTCAAAATAAGCTTTGTGAAATCTCCCCTCTCCCTACTCTTACGGTTTTTCTCTTTAAAAACTCTGCCTCTGAGCCGTGGAGATGGCTCAGTGGGATAAGTGCTTCCCTGGCAAGGGCCTGAGTTCAATCCCTGGTTCCTCCAAAAAATAAATAAATAAATAAATAAAAACTGTGCCTCACCTAGACTAAGTGGGCACATACTTGGAGACCGGAGTATGTGCCGCCGCTGAGCTCAGTTAAATAAAGCGCTTTTAAATTGAGTTCGGTTTTTGATTTTTGGGTTACAATAGGAAGGACGAAAA